GGAAAAGCGAATGCGCAGATTGAGCTTGAGGCGGTGCAATAATCGTCTTAAATTACACTTGCACCGGGGATATCTGCCCTGTGGATGATAAAGGTTTAGGGGTGCACCTGCAGCCCTCTCTGAGGGTGTAAATGAGCCTGTGGATGTGCATCATCATAAACCCTTTATGGGATATTGTCCGTCTTTGCCGGACCGAACGCGTTAACAGCTTCCCCGCAGTCAGAGGGCGTTCGTTTCCGCAGGGTGGGCCAGATTTGCCCGCTCACCTTGCCCACAGTAAGGAATAACTGGGCTTGGAGTCTGAAGCCAAGAGCGCGCGTTCCACGCTGGGAGCCTCGATCTCCTCTCGGGCGCGTTGAAGTCAGGGGCGTTTTGGGGCTGTGGCGTTGTGTGTCGCAGACAGCGTCGGTCCGGCGCGGATTTATCCTTCCGAGCTGAGCATCCTAGTTGTACAGCATCACACTGTGGGCCTCGGAGGACCACAGGGCAAACTTCCACTCCCCGAAGTGATTTCTGGAAATACCGAACGCCAAAGCAGGCCCGGGCGGGGAGACCCTTTTGTGTGCTGGATGTTGTAGTTCAAAACCAACCCGAGATCCAGAAAGCCGCCCGCCGCCAGCTCCCAGCGAGCACGCCAAGGTGGTTCTGTTCTTTTAAACTGCGCTGGGCTCGGGGCCTTGCCGAGGTTTTTAGCTTAGGGGGTTACTGTGTGGGTTTAAGGGAAGTTATTTCTGCATTTCGTTGTCCTGTCCTTTATTTCCCAAATATTTTCATACAAGTCTTAAATCCTAACAATTGGACTGTGGAAGAAAATTGTCCTTTTTCCTAATCTTATTTTACTCTGGGATGTTTTTAGAGGATGAGAATGCCGTGGGAGTGCTGAGGGGGGGTTGTTTACAATTCTGTTGCTGGTAGGTTAGTGAAATACAAGATTTATGCTGACCCTCCCCCCAAAAAATGCAAGTTCTGCTGCACTTACCTGAATCTAGATGAGCAGAAGAATGGTTATTCTCCTGAATAACTTTATTGACTGATTTTGTTTTAAACTCAACGTTTTCACCCATCTTTCTGCTTGCCTGGATCAGGTAGGCCCACCTGCACCTGATAGTTGGGAGTAAAATCCATAGCTGACCGCAAGGCCTGGCTCAGCTCAGCGTGGGGGGGCAAAGCCAGAAATGAAGCACAGTGTGTCTCTGTAGATCAGAGCTCAGAGGCAGAGAAAATCAGCCAGTGGATGTGCTTGCCTCGGGTATGCACGCTGTCCTCCACGGGAAGGAGGCGGTCCTGTGCAGCTGCTGGGTCACCAAAAGACGGGGTTTCATATTTTTGGCAGAATGTAATGTACTGGGGTCACTTGGAGACCAGCCATTGTGACCGTTGGGGAAACGAGCCGCCGATGAAGGGCAGCGACGAGCTTTTTGGGACGTGGATTATTGCTTTATGGCCCTGGGGTGCCTGTTTCATCCCACGTCTGGGCGATGCTGCTTCCTCTCCACCCCTTCAGTTTTATTGTTCCTGGGCATGGGATGACGCTCGGCGCGTTACAGCATGTAACAAATTCTCCTGGGTCATCTGTGCCACCACGTTTGTCTGGGTAGCTTGTGTTCCCGTACTCTCCTGCCCACACGCCTTTTCCTTTTGCTGGTTGAAATCATCCATTTGTCTCCATCTAGGGGAAAATGGAGAAAAAGCCAGAATCGGCCGCTGCTGCACGAAAACCTGAACCCAATGCGGTCTCTAAAATGGCTACTGCTAAAACAGCCGTACCAAAAGAGGGTGCCCCCAAACAGCCCAATGGGAAAGTGAGTTTATTTCAGACTTTTCTCTCTGGAGATGAAGGAAAACATTTCTGTTATGAATCACTTTCCCTTCTCTTCAACTCTTCTGCTCTCTCACTGTTCCTTGCACAGACACTTTGCCAACTCTTCCTTGCAAACCCTGCGACGTTCGGTTAAACACGGTCAGAGGTCACCAGCGTAGGTATCTTTGCCCTGCCTGCTGTGTTTTCAGAGCAGAGTCCTTCATTTTCACTTTAATTAGGCAATCCTCCCTCTGAGCCGGAGGTTTCCCTGGAGCCCAGCTCTTCTGACACAGCACAGATCATACCTAGGATGAGAAAGCTCTAGTGCTGCTTGGTGTAAGACTGTGGAGTATTAAGGACTTTGTCTTTCCTGCCATATTCCCGACCCAGTCGTATCTTTAAGGCCGTGCATTAGGTGCTCACCACTTGATGGGTCACTCCGAGGTTGTCGTGACGTGGTATTTCAGCACGAGAGGATGGGGAGTGAGGTGGGAGTGCCTGTGGTGCTGCTTTAATTCAGGCGTCATCAGCCTGTTAATGAGGGGACGGGGTTTGTACCTCGAGAGAAGTCAGTTGACCCCTCTAGGCCTCCGTACGTTTTCAGAGCGGCCGTTGCACTGAATCCAGTCTTTCTGAACTGGCGAAGGAGCTTTTGGAAACCTGCTGAAGTGAGAATGTTCTGGTGATTCCTTTTGTGCTTCCAATTCATCAGCTCTTCCTAGGAAGTAGGACACAGCTTCTGCCACGTTTTGTGCTGTGTAAAATAACTCCCCGACTAAACACATGTCGTAACTAACCTTAGTAAACACGGGGCTGCTACTCTAACTCCGTTACTGCCTTGGTGAGCAAAAGCTGACTTGGCATTCTCCTTCTGTGCTTTGAAGAAGTCCAAGTCCCTTTAGTAAAAAGGAGAAACAATTCAATTAACATAAGTCTGATAAAATTTAACCGAAGGTTGGCCACCTTCATCAGGATAATTGTTTCTCAGGCCAGGCTTTACTGCCCAGAGTATTTTGAAAGACTTTCCCCAGACTGGAGCTGATCTAGGAAATAAAGCGTAGACATTGAGCAGTTCATAGCCATGTTGGATGTGGTGGCCCCATGGCTTTGCTCTGTGGAGGAAGGAGGCAGCTTAGTGGGCTCTCCCTGCTCGGGGGCAGCTCTCATCAGAGAGCTCCTGGGAAGCTTCACGGGGGATGGAGATGAACCCAGTCCTTTTGGCAGGCACCTGCTGGTGGTGCTAACCTGTACAGTATATGGAGCAGCCAAGCCGTAGGGTGTATGGAGCAGCCAACCCATAGGGTTCATGGAGCAGCCAACCCGTAGGGTCCATGGAGCAGCCAACCTGTAGGGTAACCATAGGGGCC